CTGTTTTAAACCTGACAGCCTCCCACACTTTTCTAGAAAGACCAACGGTAGCAGAGATGCACTGAGTCCCAAACTGACATTCACAGGGCAAGGCGAAGGAGAGGCATTCTATAAAATACACACAAGCATTTTCTATCCTTGTCATTTCTTAATTATCTCATCTGTTTGCATAGAACCCAATTCCCTGACAACTCTGCAAAAAAAAGGATCTGTCATTTAGTACTAAATTCTAAGATTGGTATTATAACCACTATCAAAAAGTTTCCCTGTGATTGTCAATTCTGCCCAACAATAGTTACGTGCTGCAGTTAAAGCGCAGTGCAAGCTTTGGGTTGCATTAGCTGGTTAATCCAGGCAAAAGGAGGCTGCTGCCCTTGAAATCTTCTGGATATTGCCCAAACCCTCCACTTGAATTGAACCTGGAGACATAACCTGGAACGTATTATGTCTCCCATGGGGTTAACTTTAGATTATAGATCGTTTTTTAGTATTTAATATAAATGAAACATTAAACTACATAAAATAATAACAACATCTAAAGACCTTTGGGAATATAGCCTATCCACACTACCAATCACAGCACCATCTCATCACTGCCATTGAAACCTGAATCTTTTCCCCAGCTATTGGAAGACATTGTCACTGCCAGCTAGTTATCCAATTCCTCTGTCTATCAGAGTCTTGGTTTCTATCTAACATCCACTTTTTTAGCCCATAGCCTTAGACTTCTACTAGTTGATAAATGTCCAAATTGTTTTTAATGCTCTTGTCTGACTCTATTCATCATGGAACCTCTGTTAACTATTGGATAGCTTATTTTAATTATTTGGATGCCGATTAGCAAGGCCTGGAATTAACCAGGTTCTGCTTTTTCTCCTTTTCTTTCTTACTGTCTGCTTTTTGGCCACAGCTCAGGTGAGGTGTAGATAAAATCTTGGGAGTTCAAAAGGCCTATTTTGCTATTTGTTGGTATCTCTGGTTAAAAATTTTGCAAGGTAATATACTGAAAACACTCAATAAAAGTAAACTATCTTTATCATGCATATTACATTTCAATGCAAATTTTAAAAGCAGAATACCTATGCTACATTTCATTTCTTCTATAAGATATATTGAGTACTGAGAAATGTTGACTTTGTTTTACACCACTCTTTGCATTAAGCTGTATAATCACAATAGCTCTTTTTTTTTTTTTAACATTTTATTAGGGGCTCATACAACTGTTATCCCAATCCATACACACATCAATTGTGTAAAGTGCATTTGTACATCATTTCTCAAAACATTTTCTCTCCATTTAAACCCCCGACATTAGGTCCTCATTTTTCCCCTCCCTCCCAGCTCCCCCCTCCCGCATGAGCCCTTGATAGTTTATAAATGGGTATTTTGTCATATCTTGCCCTGTCCGACGTCTCCCTTCATCCACTTTTTGGTTGTCTGTCCCCCATGGAGGAGGTCACACACAGTTCCATGTAATCGGTTCCCTCTTCCCTACCCATTCTCCCTTTACCCTCCCTGTTTTGCCACTCACACCACTGGTCCTATAGGGCTCATCCGTCCTGGATTCCCTGTATTTTCAGTTCCTATCTGTACCAGTGTACCTCCTCTGGTCTAGCCAGTCTTGCAAGATAGAATTCGAGTCATGGTAGTGGGAGCGGGGGATGAGCCAGTCACGGTGCGATGTAACAATGACGAGAAATACAACCTTCCTCTAGTTCCTAAAGGTTTCCTCCCCGCTCCCACAATAGCTTTTTTAATAGCTCTCACTCCAACCTAAGTCTGAAGATTAGTTACTTATGTTATTTTGGGGAACTTCTGTTTAAAAAAGAAAGAAAAGTTTATTATCTTGTAATTCCAGGAGAAAATTTATATGTAGACTCCATAGAAAATAAACAAAGCAAAAAGCCTATCTGTCTCCTTGGCTGTTTTTAGGTATTGTCACATCAGTTCTGACTTATACGGACTCTATGTATAGGGACTCTATAGGGACTCTATAGTTAATCTATGTATAGGGACTCTATAGGGGCTCTATGTATAGGGACTGTATAGGGACTCTACGTACAGCAGAGCAAAACACTGCCCATTCCTGTGCCATCTGCACATTTGTTATTTTGTTTGAGCCCATTGTGGCTACCATAGGGTCCATCCATCTCGATATATAGCTATTGACTCTTTACTAAAAAAAAAAAAAAAAAAGTCCTTCTCCGGGAACAAGATTGTCTAGCCAACATGCCCAAAGCACATGACAGGAAATCTTAGCATCTCACTCCTAAGGAGCTTCCTAGCTGTACTACTTCCAAGATAGAGTTGTTTGTTCATGGTACTTGCAATATTCCTCCCCAGCCCAGTTCAAATGCCTTCGTTTCCTCCAGTCCTCAAAATTCCCTGTTCTACTGTCACATGCACATGAGGCTATTGAAATGAGCCATGGCCTGAGTGAGGTGTCCTTTACCCAGTTTCTCTGATTATTAGCCCACCAGGTGCTTTCATTTGCATCTTGCCATGCATATCGATACATTCTTGTTGCACAGCACTCAGCAGTACACAATACTGGGTCCAAGGAGGCGCAGGACTCCCAGCCCTATCCCTTCCTGGAATATGTTCTGCTGTTTACCAGCCAGATTTGTTACTTCTTCAACAGATGAAAAGTGTTCATGAGAGTTCAAAGACTCCTCGGATTCTTTTCAGACTGTATTGAAGACAGGTGACCCAACTAATCAAATAGACAAATGATTTGAAAAGATTCCTACAAAGATAGGGAATGGTCAACAAGCACAGTAAAAGATGTTCAACACCACAGACATCATAGAAATGCAAATGCAACCATGACATAGCACTGAACATCCACTAGGAGAAAAACTGACAATGCCAAGTGTTGATAAGGATGCAGAGAAACGGGAACTCTCTTAAATTCCTGGTGGGTTGTAAAATGGCACAACCACTTTGAAAAACCTTATAAACATCCATTTCCCAAGGGATTCAGCAATTTCCACTTCTAGATGTTTACCCAATAGGGATGAAAAACATATTTTCCCGTGAAAATATACATGTCAATGATCTGTAACCGTTTTATTCAAAATAAACCCAAACTGGAAGCAACTTGAATCTCCTTCATCTGGTGAATGGATAAACAAATTGTGCTATCATTATACTATAGAACACTACTCAACAATAAAAATGTAAGAACTGTTAATAAATGAAACAACAGGAAAGAATCTCCAAAAGATAACGTTAACTGAAAGAAGTCAAACACAAAATGTACTGTACTATCTGGCTCCATTTCTATGAAACTCTAAGAATGTCAAAACCATAGTGAGTGATGGCAGGCAAGTGGCCCCCTCACATCTGAGAGTCAGATGGGTGAAATTTACTGCAAAGAGGATGAGAAATCTTTGGAAGGTTATGGAATTATTCTATATCTTTATTTTGGCGGGGATTATATAATGATAGATAACTCAAAATCCATCAAACTGTTCAGTTAATATTGATAAATTTATTGATGTGAACAATACTATAAATTAAAAAGTCAAATTCTGAACTCTAGTTCTTCCTGATTCTATTTAATTCTGAGTGATAAAGTTAGCCCCAAATTGTTGGCCCTCCTTTCCAAGAAAATCAACTCTGATCACTTCAGAAATATGTTCCCTCCATAATTTTTCACAGGAAACACGGGTTCTTTTTTCTTTTGCTTTTGTTTTCAGAATGTAAGCATTCTTTCAGCTGTTGAAAACATATGTATCTCATTCTCTTTCTCTTTTTGTTTAAGGCAGTCAGCAAAAAGTATATCGCCTTTGGAGGAGTAAGCTTCTCCACAGAAATATGTACCCTTAAACTTAAAAAAATTGTCAGATGTCTTTATGAGATTCTTTTGAAAATGTCTATTGATATATGTAATAATACTTGGGATCGAATACAGCCAAATAGAACAGCAAGGCGTAAATCCCTAACCTCTCACTAATTGGCTGATGATCTCATTTCAGTAAAGAGAACAGAGGATTCTGCACCAGTCCCCTGAGAGCAGATCGAGGGTCCTTTGAGGGAGCCATAGGGATTGTATATCTACAAAAATGAACCTTCTCAAATCTATGACTGTTTAAAATCAGAATGGGCTGCCTAGTAAAACAGTGAGTCTCCCTTCACCAGAGATAATGAAACGGGGTTGGATAAACCCTTCAGCAAATGTCAGAGATGTTACCCCAGTGTCAGCTGCACAGTGAATCTGCATAATCGCCAATGTCTCCCTAAACACCCGGATCCTAGTATTTGATGAAATCATTAATGACCTTTGCATGTGCAGTTCCACCAACGCCACGGGTCAACATCTTCCCTGCACAGGGAAGGAGCTCATGGTCACAGACGGCTCGTTTGAGTAAGTTTGAGAAACTGGCCCCAAAGGGCATAGAGAAAATAAGACTGGCACAGGTCTAAAGAGCTCTTATGAAACTCACCTGCCTTTTTGTCTAAGAAGGTAAATTTTGAAAACGGAAGCAACAGAAAGGAAATGAAAAGATACAGTACCCTTCCTGCACGAGAAGTAAGAGCATTTGAGATGGGTTGGTCACAGGTTCTGTGGGTTCTCTGGAAGCTCAAAAAAGAGGAAGCGAATGATTCTTGGGGGGATTGGGAGCAGGGTTGGGTGGGGGGAGCGGAGCGGGAGTGGGGGTTGTTGTTTAAGGATTGGGTTTAGTTCAGGGTTAGCTCAAGATGGGATGGGGGGAGGAGAAAGAATTTCAGCTGCTTAAAAACAAAACAAACCAACAATTGACAGAGTAGATTTTGCAGACCCAGGAACCCCACGCGGTTTAGGAACATGAATGAGGCTGATGTTCTGAGGCCCTGCGAAGGGGGAAGCGAACAATCTCAACAATAATCAACAGCTGATGAATTTTCCCGAGGAATTTAGAAATTGTTGTAATAAACTGCTGCAGCAACTGTTTTCAGAGCAGGGAATCGAGGCTCAGGTAAATACAATAAGAAACTTCTGGTGGCACAAAACTTACTATGAACAATTGCTTTGAATATCAAGGCATTCTCTTTTCTTCTCTTGAACTCTCTGGTCATTTCCGTGTTTGGAACCAGGTAGGGGCTGCGAGGCAGAAAGGACAGCAGTGGTTTTCCAGTAGGTGTTTCCCCATGGCTCCAACCTCCAACAAGTTATCCAGGCTATAGAAGGTACTCAATAAACATGAGGAGGTAACATGAGTCCTAGAAGAGGTAGCACACATCCTAGAAGGAAACCTGCAGGAATTAACTGGCTTAGAGTTCTCTTCCTTTGTAACATGTAAATACTTCCGGGGTTCTGACCTTTCTCTTCAATCTTTCACTGCCCTGTTTGGTCCGACTGACTCAATGCCACCTAGCAGCCCACGGCAGTTATGTTGTGGCTTTGTGGGGACACAGGGGATATGTAAGAAGAAAATTTTAGAAGTAAACTTAAGAACTAAGTGTTCCTCCCACGAAGCACTGCACATGTCTTAGACTGAAAGAAGCCCCGCAAAGACTGCATCAAAGGAGAAGCCTGCTGCTGGCCGCTCAGTCTGCACCGTGCCCTGCCCACTGGGGACTCCCTAAAGAAAGAACAAATGGTGAGCATTAAAGGGCAAGTATTTTTCTTTTATAATAAATAGAAGGAAAGTTCCTGCTCTAGCCTTTATTCCATCCCCACCTAGTTGCTATCATTTTTCTGGTTGATATTGTTAGTTGGCTTCTAGTAGCCAACCTAAAGCATTCATTCACACCTGTTACCTAGTTATCACACTGCCCTTCTTTTTAGTAGCTCTAGGAGCCTCTCCTTGTTGGTAAATCTTCCCTTCATTCTCTGCCGGTGTGTAAAGAAGGAGTCCTGATGAGACTGTTTGGTAAATGCTGAACTGATAACCATGAGGTCAGCAGTTCAAACTCATCCACTGCTTTGAGGGAGAAAAAATGAGGCTATCAGTCCTGTAAAGACTTACAGCCCCAGAAACCCTGCGTAGGGTCACTATGAATTGTAATGGATTAGATGGCAGTGGGTTTGGGATTTGCACATAAACATAAAAGTGATTTGACACACCAAGCATGAATCATTCTTCCTATGACACTGTGACAGCCTCTCCAAGGAGGAATTATGGAGAAAGTTGCACCTGAGACATTCAGGTGGGGCAGCTGCTAGGCTGGAAGCAAAACTTTGTCTGAAAACAAAGGACAGTGACCTTGATGGTGGTGCTCAAGGTCAAGGCTGGCCTCTTTAATTGGCAAGACACTGCAATCCTATTTCACAGGAGTCATGATTTCCTAGATGCTGTTGCTCTGAACAATCATTTTACTCTTATGATTGTTAAAAATTTAATCTTTATAACAGCACCCCCAGTGAGGTATGAATATAAAAAAATTCACTTCAAGTTATAAGCCATTGTTTGATTAGAAGATATCAGCATTGCAACTGCAACAAAAAGTATCACATTGTTAGTAATACTGGTTCCTGTTTTATGTCAATGTGGAATTGTGTTGGTAATAGAATCACCTGCTTGATGCACAGGAGCATCTGAGACAAGAGCTGAGTGTCCATAAAAGAGAACTGTGAGTTGAAAAGTTAAATAATATCTCATGCATCAGCTTGGGAAGAACTATCTGGATACCAAATTAGAAATATCTAAAACAAATTTCTATGTCAAGTAACTTCTGCATATCCCAATATTTGATTTGCATTCCTTTTAAGTGCAGCAAAATATTAATCTCTTAAGTCACTTAAAAATAATTAAAGTTGCTTACATGTAATGAAGACACCAGGTAATTAAAATAAACACTCTTGCCTCATTGCCCATAATTCCAATTTGAAATTTCAAAAGTCTTTTTTCTATACTTAAAGCACAGGAGATATAGAATGGGTGTGCAAGGCGAAAAGCTTCTACTCTTAACCTGGTGCAGAAGATGAAGTTTGAAATGAAGGCACAGGGATGAGATTTTGAACCACTGGAAGGAAATTTAGGGAGCCACTGTCTTTGAGGTGTAGAAAAAGGACACAAATACAGCTAATGCAAAATAGGAAAGAAGGGGGGAAATAAAGCCCTCATGCACATGGGAGCTAACAGAGTCTAAGAACACGAACCCAGTGCACACCCTGCTCTCAGGTCAATCCTGGCTCTGTATGATCCTACGGGGCAGTGTACATTTTCTGAGACTGAAAATATGTGCTGGAATTGATGGCCACACCTTGCTCCTGCAGAGGCTGATGAGCATGACCTGGCAGACTTGTAGTTAGTAGCCCAACATTTCACTCAATAAGCCATGCCGGAAATCACCCTGCAGCATCATTATGATAATATCATCATGTTTATAAAAAGAGGAAGTCAGGTGTGGTGGTTTTGTGTGTGGACTCTGGAGTCCCATGCGGCCGATCTGAAGGTCTGATTCCGCCACTTAAACCTGTAGCCCTAGCTCGTTTCCCCATCAGTACCACGGGGACGATAAAACAGCAAGACCTGTGAAAACTGGAACCTAGGCAAGGTGGAAACTTGTCAGAGGAACCTACAAATGTTCCCCACGAAAATGAATGGGAGATGACTGCGCTTGTCAAAGGCAGCACACGTGCACGACCCAGAAACATGAGTCAGGCATTGCCAAGTTCCGGCTCTCATGGTTCAAGAAAACAAAATGAGAGAAGGGCATGATGAGCTAATTTGTATTTTTAGGTCACCATCTATTGGTCTATGCTAACTAGAAGACTGGCGAAGCAGTTCGTGCTCAGCTGCTAAGAGATAGGTTGGTGGTTCGTACCCACCCAGCATCCTTCACAAAAGAAAAGTCTTGTGAAGACTAAAGCCCAAACATGCTGACTCATAGGGAGTAGAAAGCCCAGCTTTTCTCCTGTGTGTTTTTGAACTGCTGACCTGTCAGATCCCAGACCACAGTCTAGACAACCCTGGGAGGCCATTCTACTTGGTCCTCAGGGGGTCACGGTGAGTTGAAACTGACTTGAGAGCCTACAACGAAGAAAATAAATCATTATCACAACCGCCTGGTCCCACTGAGTCATGTCTGACTCATTTTGCTTCTGTTGGTGTAGTTCAGTGCCATCCAGTGGGTTCCAACCTAAAGCAACTTATGCACAACAGAACGAAACACTGCCCAGCCCGGAGCTCGCCTCACACTTGTTCCTATGTTTGAGCCCATTGTTCCAGTCACCGCATCAATCCATGTCCTTGAGACCTTCCTCTCCTGTGGCCCTCTGCGTTTTACCAAACATGGTGTCCTTCTCCAGGGACTCGTCTCTCCTGACAACATGTCCAGCGTATGCAGGATGATGTCACCCTTACCTCTAAAGAGCACTCTGGACCTAGTTATTCCAAGACATAGCATTTTGTCCTCTTAGCAGTCCATGATACTTCCAATAGTCTTCCCCAGCACCACAATTCAAATGCATCGATGCTTCTCCAGCCTTCTTTATTCAGTGTTCAATTTTCACGTGCATGTGAGGCAATGGAAATACCATGGCTTGGGTCAGGGCACACCTTAGTCCTCAAAGTAACATCCCTGCTCATCAATACTCTAAGGAAGTCTTGTGCAGCAGATACACCTAATGCAACATGTCTTTTGATCTCTTGACTGCTGCTTCTATGAACATTGATTGTGGATCCAAGCAAGACAAAATCCTTGACAACTTCAATATTTCTTCAGCTTATCATTATGTTTCCTATTGGTCCAGTTGTGAGGATTTTGGTCTTCTTGAAATTGAGAGGTAATCCATACCGCAGGTTGAAATCCTTGATCTTCATCAGCAAATGCTTCAAGTCCTCCTTGCTTCCAGCAAGGAAGATTGTGTCATCTGCATCTACAAGGTTTTTAATAAGTCGTCCTCCAATCCTTATGCCACATACTTTTTCATATAAGCCAGCTTCTTTGATGATTTGCTCAGCATACAGATTGAATAAGTATGGTAAAAGGATACAACCCTGTCACACACCTTTCCTGATTTTAGACTATGCATTATTCCACTGTTCTGTTCACACAACTGCTTCTTGATCCATGTACACATTTTTCATGAGTATAATGAAGTGTTTTGGAATTTCCATTCTTCTCAATGTTATTCATAGCATGCTACGATCTACACAGTGGAATGCTTTTGCATAGTTAATAAATCATAAGTAAACATCTTTCTGGTATTCTCTGCTTCCAGTTAAGATCCATCTGACGTCAACAACGATATCCCTTGTTCCCTGTCCTCTTCTGAATCTGGCCTGAACCTCTGGCAAGTCGCTGTCAATTTACTGCTGCAATCATTGTTGGATGGTCTTTTACAAAATTTTACTGGCATGTGATAGAAATGTTATCTATCATTTGAGCATTCTGTTGGGTCACCTTTCTTTGGGATGGAGACAAAGATGGATCTCTTCTATTCAAATAGAATTTCTTCCAATTTCTTAGCACAGACCGGTGAGTGCTTCCAGTGCTTTGTCAGCTGGTTGCAACATCTCAATTGATTTCCCAACAATTCCTGGAACCTTGTTTTTGGCTCATGCTTTCAATGCAGCTTGAACTTCTTCCTTCAGGACCATTGGTTCTTGTTTATATGCTACCTCCTGAAATGGTGGAATGTTCACTAGCTCCTTTTTGTATAGTGCCTCTGTGTATTCTTTCTATCTTCTTTCAATGTTCTTATTGCATCATTCCCTATTTTGCAGAGAATCTTTCAATATTACAACTCAAGGCTGAATTTTTTTCTTAAGTTCTTTCAGTTTTAGATAGTCTGAGCATGTTCTTCCCTTTGGTTTTCTAATTCTAAGTTATTATACTATTTGGCTTTGTCTTCTCAAACTGCCCTTGAAATTTCTATTCAGCTCTTTTACTTCATCCTTTCTTCCATTTGCTTTAGCTACTCTACTATTAAGAGAAAATTTCAAAGTCTCTTCTGACATCTACTTTGATCTTTCTTTATATCCTATTCTTGTAATGCTTTTTTGCTTTCTTCTTGAATTATGTTCTTGATATCCCCCCACAGCTCATCAGATCTTCTGTCCTCAGTGTTCAATGGATCCAATCTGTTCTT